CGCCTCCTCGCGAATTGAGGCCGGAGACTCCAGGGTCCTCTGGTCTCAAGGCCTCCCCTCACCAGGCGAGGCCCAAAATCCGAACCACTGGCTCGCATGTGCGGGCACCCAGTGCCTCTGAGGAGGCAATGGACACAACGGTACCCTTGGTACCAAAACTGCGGCGCGGCTCCTTGGAGCGCGCCAAGAAAAATAAAAAACCAATAACAGGGCCGGACGACCGTCCTGCCACCTGAATTAACGAGCTAACTCCTACACAGGATACTCTTTGTACACACAGCAGCATCTCTCTTGTTTAAATATGCAGACAGAAATATTACAGTGGAACATCCGAGGCCTTCTCTGAAACCTCGATGACTTACAAGAACTCCTCCATGAACACAATCTAAGAGTGCTGTGTGTACAAGAGACACACTTAAAACGAACAAACACAAACTTTTTACGTAACTACATAATCTTCCGAAAGGATAGAGATGATGCCATGCCACCATCCGGTGGTGTAGCGGTTATAGTCAGTCAAGGTATAGCATGCACACAATTACCTCTTAAAACTTTCCTCGAGGCGGTGGCTGTCCGAGCAGTTATTCTAAACAAACTTGTCACTGTCTGCTCTTTGTACATACCTCCGCACCACCGTCTTGAAAAACTTCAATTCCAGTCTTTAATAGACGAACTACCTGAACCCTATCTGGTCCTTGGGGACCTGAACGCACATAATGGTCTGTGGGGTGACTTCCGCTGTGATGCACGAGGTCGTCTCGTTGAACAATTCCTCATTTCATCAGGTGCTTGTCTGTTGAATAGGAAAGAGGCAACATACTATAACCTTGCCAACAAAACTTACTCTTCCATAGACTTCAGTATCGCATCTCCTTCACTTGTACCATTATTTCAGTGGAAAGTCATAAATAATCCATACGGAAGTGACCATTTTCCTTTAGTTTTGAGTACACCAATAATACATAAATGTCCTCCACATGTTCCCAAATGGCTGGTAAACAAAGCCGACTGGGAACAATTTCAAAAGCTTACTCACTTAAATTGGACTGACATATGCGGATTAGGCATAGATGAAGCTGTGCAGTACTTCACGGCCTTTCTTATTGACGCAGCAGCCAAGTGCATTCCACAAACGTCTGGACTGCCCGGCAAACGACACGTCCCGTGGTGGAACACTGAGTGTCAGAATGCGCGAAAGGAACAGAACAGGGCATGGAGGTTGCTGCGGAACTCGCCGACAGTGGAAAACCTCGAGAGCTTTAAGAAAATAAAATCTCGAGGCAGGAGAACGCGTCGGCAGGCGAAAAGAGAAAGTTGGCACAAGTTTTTGTCAGAGATAAATTCATACACACAAGAGGCCAAAGTCTGGAACATGGTTCGTAGGGTAGCAGGAAGAAAAGTACACACACTTCCACTCGTAAACACTCAGGGTGATACCTTGGAAGATCAGGCGAACTTCCTCGGTGCACACTTCGAACAGGTGTCCAGCTCATCCCACTATACTGACACTTTCCAAAAATACAGAACAAGAATAGAAAAGCAGAAACTCGAACACAAATCCACTAGATACGAGGCATATAACCAAGCTTTCAGTCTAGCTGAGCTGCGAACGTCTCTAAACTCCTGCAGTACTTTTGCCCCAGGTTCTGACCGTGTGGTGTATGAAATGTTAAGAAACCTACCAATCGAAACACGAAAAACCTTACTTTGTTTGTACAATGCTATCTGGTTCTCTGGCACTATCCGTACCTCCTGGAAAGAGGCTATTATTATTCCCATTTTGAAAGAGGGCAAGGACCCTTCTTTACCTTCAAGTTATAGGCCTATTGCACTTACAAGCTGCTTGTGCAAAGTCTTCAAAAAAATGATAAACTGCCGACTTGTACATATCCTTGAAACAAACAATTTGCTCGACCCATTTCAGTACGGGTTTCGTGAAAGTAGACCCACCACAGACCACCTTGTTCGTATCGAGGCACAGATCAGGGACGCCTTCGTCCATAAACAATATTTTCTCTCTGTATTCCTCGATATCGAAAAGGCTTATGATACAACATGGCGTTTTGGAATTCTAAGAGACCTGTCCCACCTTGGCGTGCGCGGAAGAATGTTTCACATAATCGAAAATTACCTGTCAAACCGGACATTCCGTGTCCGAGTGGGCACGTTTTTTTCCCAATTATTTGTCCAGGAAACAGGCGTGCCACAAGGTGGTGTACTTAGCTGCACACTTTTTCTCATCAAAATGAATTCCTTGCGCTTGTCTATTCCTCGCAGTATGTTTTATTGTACATATGTCGATGACGTCCAGCTTGGCTTTAGATCTTGCAATCTGGCAATGTGTGAGCGGCAGGTTCAGTTAGGTTCAAACAAGGTCTCCAAATGGGCAGAGGAAAACGGATTCCGACTGAACCCACAAAAAAGCACGTGTGTCTTGTTCTCCCGAAAGAGAGGCATGCACTCAGAACCCGACATTGAACTGAACGGTCAACGTCTCTCTGTTAATACGGAGCATAAATTCTTAGGATTAATCTTGGACAACAAGTTGACCTTCGTACCGCACATCAAGTATCTAAAAACAAAATGTTTAAAAGCCATGAATGTTTTAAAAGTGTTGTCACGTACTAGCTGGGGTAGTGACAGGCAATGTCTCATGAACCTATATAGAAGCCTCATTCGCACCCGCTTAGATTATGGGGCCGTTGTTTATCAGTCTGCGACTCAAAGTGCTTTGAAGATGCTGGACCCCGTGCACCATTTGGGCATCCGCCTTTCTACGGGTGCTTTTCGCACCAGCCCCGTGGAAAGCCTTTATGTTGAGTCAAATGAGTGGTCGCTTCATCTGCAGAGAACTTACATGTCCTTCGTTTATTTCCTTAAGGTAAAAGCAGACAAGATGCACCCCTCATACTCTACTATGAATGATTTGTCGAGCTCAATTCTGTTTCAAAACAGGCCTTCGATGAGGGAGCCCTTCTCAGTTCGCCTGAAGAGTCTAGCTGAGGAAACTGGAGTCTCACTTGAACACAGTTTAATGGCTCCTGTAGCATACCCGCCACCGTGGCAATGGCAGACTATAGACTGCGATGTGTCTTTTCTAGAAGTTACAAAACATGCGCCTATTGCCCATATCCGAACATACTTCCTGGAACTTCAACACAAATACACACGTCTTGAGTTCTTTACAGATGCCTCCAAGTCTAACTCTTCTGTGTCCTACGCTGCTGTCGGCCCATCCTTTTTGGATGCTGGCCCTCTACATCCAGACACAAGTATCTTCACAGCGGAAGCTTATGCGATACTTGGGACGGCTAAACACATCAAGCAATTACAAATACAAAACGCAGTAATTTATACGGACTCCCTCAGTGTGGTAACGGCTCTGCACACTCTTAAAAAACACAAAAACCCAGTCCTTGTCTCACTTTACTCCATTTTGTGCACACTCTACACACTCAAACAACATGTTGTAGTGTGCTGGGTGCCAGGGCATCGTGAGATTCAAGGCAACAAGAGGGCTGATCAGCTCGCTGCATCTGTCCACAAAAGCACTGCCACTACACCCATATCAATCCCAGCCCTTGATGTCAAGCCGTCTTTAAAACAAAACCTCAGGGTATACTGGCAGAGCAAGTGGGATACGCACACACAAAACAAACTACACGTTATTAAGCCACACCTTGGTCATTGGCTGCCCGTATCGAAATCGCGTCATACAGATATAATACTAACGAGACTCGGGATAGGACATACATACGCGACACACACTTATCGTTTGTCTGGTGACGATCCACCATTGTGTGACAAATGTGGTGAAGCATTAACAGTCCTTCACATACTAATCCAGTGCAAACACTTAGAAACTCTAAGAAAACAACATTTTCCATTACCCTACCGACAACATATACCTTTACACCCTGCAATGTTTGTTGGTGGGGAATCACTTTTTAGTCATAAATCATTGTTAGCGTTTTTAAAAGATATTAATAATTTTCATATCATATACCCGGGCATCCCGTAGCACGACCTCTCCAGGGAGGTTTTTGCTGCGGTGGCTACACAGGAAAGCACTTGCCTCACGGCCCTTGGACGCAAGGGTATGAACCAGTGAGGCACTTGTGCTAATGCCATAAATATCCACCATCGTCTTTTATTATCACCAACTTTTGTCATCTATTCACACCACACACACCTTTCACGGTATGGTCATGATTTTATTACTTGTATGTTCTTACCCGCCTTACCGCGAGGAATTTTATGGCCCTTATACAGCCGCTAATCACAATCATTGTCCACATTCTTTGTCCCATGAACTGGCGCTCTTTGGCCATCAAATGGCCCTTGTGCCAATAAACACCATATATCATCATCAGCATGGTGCAACCGAAATTTCATCTGCGAATTTTACCAAAAGCTTTAGAAAATAACGTTAAGTAAAAGTTTTGAAAAAGACTTCCTGTAAAGAACGTTTTCTCAACATCATCTAAAAAACTTTTTGTGAAAAACGTTTATTCAACATTGCATAATATACCTAGATGTCTGCATACCTTTCTAGTCGTTTCGAGAAGTTTTGACGACGTTTCGTGTTTCTTGGGATGGTTTAAGTTTCTGTTGACGACATCCTCATTTGGTAATGTTGAGGCTGTGGTTTCAACCGCCACTGGCAGCCAGTTGTGCAATCTGCTGTCGACATTCCTTCATTCTGACCAAAAATTTCTTGTTTGTTCTTTTCAGCATGGTTATCAGGTAGCTTATACTGTTGTAACCAACAAAGGTCATGTGCCTCTGTTTTTTCTACTGCATGTTCTTCAGCAGCTGTTTGTGAATACTATTGTTAAATGTGTTTACTATGCATTTCTCACTTCACTTTGTCTTGGTGTTCGGGAACAACTGGTATATTTCATGGAAAAGCAGAATGTTTCTGAATTTGTAACGATTCATAGGAAAATACACGGTGGTGCTTCTTGAACTCACTCACTCCTTCGCTATTTTTGCAGCTCCTGCCACAAAGGCTGTGAGGCAGTAGCTTTTGAAAAGCTGAAGTGATGACTTGATTTGGTCTTTGAGTGGATGCGGAAAGAAAGCACTGGCACCTTGGCTAGGTAAGACTGACTCAAACTGTTAGTAATGAGGGTTTTTGTTTGTCTTGGCACAGGTGCATATCCAACGTATACATAAAATATTATACCAGCTAAAAATCAAAGAGCTTTTGCCACCCTTAATTAGAGGTGACTGTACTCCTTTATAATTATAGGGATGAACGAGTAGTAACTTTGAGGATTAAAGCGAATAGCAATTTGGTCAGACAATTTCGAATTATGCGCTTCACATAGTATATATCAAATATTATTTAAAAGAATTAGCATTTTTTTGTCATGGCCCAACTATCTGGCACAATACTTTTAAGAATTAGAACTAGGCATGAAAGAATGTTAATTTTCTTGGTTCAAAGTGAAATGGTAGCAGCTTTAAATAGTAGCAAGATTTGTATAGCAGTAAAGTGCAAGTTATATCTAGTACAATACATTACTATACATGGTGCATCCTTATAACCTTTTGAACTTCAAAAATAATTATTCAAGGTGCAGGTAGCTTGTACATATAGCCTTGACGTTTTGCTTCGTGGCACTGCAGATTTTTCCTTTATTTACCGAGGTTGCAGTCGAACCACTTTCACAGGAGGTTATATGCTGTCGAATATGCGTATATTTTCATTAATTTCGGTTGCTTAAATAATAAAGTTGTTTACTACTACTCGGTAGCTTAAAAATTTCGAATCATCCAATTTCTTGTCTTGTCAGATTAGAATATTGTATTACTCATTTGAAAATTCCAAGCGCCACAATATTTTCCCATCCGCACTTTATAAATTGAAAATCGATCTTGTACTTTGGTGATAGAATTAGAGAGTATCAATAAATGGCTAAATCGTCAAAATCATCGGTGGTAGCACTGAGGTTCTTTGTGTCCCAGATAAATGCATTCGTTCACATTTTAGAACAGGATATTTGCAATGTATATCACAATGCCTCACCTTCTAGGGTAAAAACAGCATGTGCAATTAAGTGATGCGATTGCCAATTACACTCAACTGTGCCAAGATGTGAACTAGCTACTACATTCAGCTTGAGTTTGGCAATAATCACATAATTTGTGCCAAGCATATGTCAATGTTTTGTTTTTGCTGTCTTTCAGAGGAAAAATGAAAAGCAGGTGCTTTACATTAGGTTACCACTGTATGTTTGAGAGGTCATAAAAGCAGACAAACAAATGCTTGATTAGTTAAAAAAGTATATCTGCTTATTAAATGGTATATTATATTAATGTAATACTATACTATTGAGGGGTGACAAGTTAATCCCAGTGGTCATGTTTTGATGGATCTAGCTTACCACAATATCTATAACTACGATTTTCTCCAGCGTTGGGCAGTGCAACCATTTTACCCATTGCTCAAAATTATCTTGGCCCACATTAAAAACTGACCTGGCCAATCGCCAAACTTTAGAAAGCCCACCACCAATGTTTGGGTGCCCAACCACAGTATTGACTGTTCACTTCGAAAGCTGTGTTGTCTCATGTTTGTAAGAGAACTGTTCCATTCCCCGAATTCGCTGAACCAAATAGAAATGTTACGTTGACCCAAGTTAAAAACTGACTTTGCCCAATCCGATCATTTGAATGGTCTACCCCTGAAATCGGTTGACCTATGCCATCGCCCTGGCCACTTAATATTCCCTTAGACCACCCCTAAAATTTAGGGGACCTTCTAAACCTACTTCAAATATGAGCACTTTACATCACGTTACTCACATGAACGACATGAATTTAGAATATTACGGACATTGGTATTTTCATCGTGCCGTGGCTGCCACAGTTCTTCTTGGAGTTTCTGTATACTCTGTCATATACGTGCCCCCTAGTCACATAAAGGGGAGGGGGGGCACAAAGTCTACCACATACATCGACTTTTGGATTACCTTGTGGTAAAAGCACAACTGTCATAAGGATAGTTCTTTGTGATGGTAAACAATGTGTGGAAAATTTTGCAGCTTCACCTTTCAGCTGAACCAAGAAAGTCGATGAATTACAAGCATGATATGCATTGCAGATTTCTCAAGAAATGTTTGTTGGCCTCGGGTTACAGAACTTTAGTGTGCCTCGGGTAGGCACACTAAAGGCATATAACAATTTGCATCAGAGTGAAAGATCGCTATTTGGGAATGTCGAAAACGGCAATATTTTATATACAGCAGTGCTTTACTAATCAAGAAATTAAGGTAAATGTATGAAACCACATGCACTATGAGTGAAGCATTTTAGGAATTATCTCAGTGACGTTAAAGCGACTGACTACAATTAATCTCTGGTATTCACACCAGCTACAATAAAAAAAAAAAACCTTTCGTGCATTACAAGATGTAATAAAATTCTGCTTGTCTGTTTCTTATTGATTCGAAAAAAGAACCACCTGGCATTACTGTGGGAAATGGCATGAGGGGTTCAAAAGTTCAGTTTTCGCTTGGTTAGGCTGGATAGCTGGTGTCATCTAGTGGGGCTAAGTTGAACGAAGCAAGCAGAAAATTCTTCAATAGCCGTTGTTGCTGTTGTAGCTCCTGCTACGTCAGAAGGTCCATTTTCAGGCGGGCAATTTGAAGTGCGCTATTGCCGTGCGGACCACTAAAACCTAATTTTATTTCAAGACAAGCACTTTCTTGGCATGAAATAGCACTACAAGGTTTCTAGACTACTATTTCAGCACTCAACATCGGCTAAACATTTGCCTTTAGTGACCCTTTAAAGCTTTCTACAGGAGAAAAAATGCAATAAGGTAATTTGATCACTTTGGAGAATAGTATAAACATGAATGGACATGATATGTAGGTTTTATTAAATTTACAGTTAGTGCTCCTCCTTAGCAATAGAAATGCATATGTATTTGTATTCGAAAATGTTCTACTGGTACTAACTGCTCAAAATGTTGATTTGCTATTGCAAAGCGAGGTTCTTTTTTTTTTTTTCAGGAGCTGCACCGAAGTGGCTTTAGTCAGTCAAATCACTTCACATTCGACAAAGTTCTGCCTTTAAAGAAAAAAAAAAAGAAAACAGGCAATCAATTTTCAGCAGAAAAATTGCCACCGATAAGTTAATGAAGTACAGCTTGCAACCATGTGCTCTTTCTGACAAAAATTGTTCTGAAAAAATTTTATGCTTGTTTTTACTGCTGAAAAAACATCAAAATGAAGTTTGTTCCACTCATGTAAAGTGCCCCCTCTTTTTTTTTTTTAAACAGGAAGTCATCAGGCACAGGTCAGTGAATCAAGCACTCACCCTCAGTGCTTCCTTATGCAACTGAAAGAAGTTCTTGTGGAACGTTCCCGCTGCACGTTTCAGAAAAGGTACTTCCAATAAATGTTTAAGCAAAATTATCTCTGCATAACACAGTAGCTTTTATGCCATGGTGTGCAATGAAGTTCACGAGTGGTCTTACATCTGGTGTACCTGCCTTATAGATTGACTGTGGGCCACGCTTAAGCACCAATGAATTGTGGAACACATGAATGATATATTGTTTGACATGAGCATCTCTGGCAATAAAGAGATATAAGGCAAACACAGAGGTATTTTAGCTCCTATGGTGGAATGCAGTTATTCTGGGCAAACATCCATAAAAACATGATTCCTTATCACAAGACAAAAAATAAGTACACAAAGAACAAGGGGACTTCATTCAAGAATGCATTACATCTCCTATGCATAACAAAGTGCTGTCCATTTTCCCACATTTCCTTCAGCGGTGCAGTCCTCTGACACCATTATGCAATCAACAAAATGGTTTTCAGTAAAAAAGTAGGCAAAAGATGTGTCACTGACCCAGAATGTTACTTACTCTAATAGCTCACGTGCCAGAGCATATTGACATTTTGGAAAAATTCTTATCCTGTCAAAGATTGGTTGACATTGATGGTCATTGAAATGAAGCCCTTTATTTTTGAGAAGCAGCTCATGTTCATGTACACGCTCGTTTATAGATGCCCGGTCTGGTCATTGTAGATCTTGCCACAAGACAAAAGGACCTTGTATGCAATTCCAGTTGCAGGTCTTAGATACGCCTTCGCATGCTTCTCGGTGCTGTCACGCTTCTTGTCATAAGGTGCAAGTGGGTGCTTTTACAGCTGAGAAAGCTTTCATGTCATCGAGAATAAAGGCACCATGCATCTATTCGCCACTTTCTTGAAACTGACGGAAACATTGCGCATATGAGGCAACACTTCAGGCCTTACCCTTCTCTGTGCTTGGTCTGTCATTTGATTCTGCATGTCTTTTTTAAGTTTCTGGAGTAGCATCTCGACTACACTAGCAAGAAGCGTGTGTTGAAATAAACTGACATCAGCCTGGCCAGTCTGTGCTGAAAACTAGCTTGTGCAGTGTTAGAACACTAACTAAAGAGGGGTGACTCAAGGTATTGGCTGGCTGTAGCCTGGTTATAAGCAGAGCTTCGTGCTTTCGGAATTTATAGTATCTGTAAATTCACAGGGTATTTTTTGCAGTCTTTTTTTCTATGAATTGAGCATTTATAGGAGTTTATCTCTCATAGTACTGCAATTCTTTGAAATTAGGAGTGCAATTTTGAATTATTCTCAATACTCCAATATCTGAGATGAAATGGTGTCTCAATAAAAAAACATATATTAAAGCAGGAAGCATGTTTTAGTTGTCTGGAAGGATTGAAGACACTAACACACATACACACAAGCACAAATGCTTGAATACAATGAAATGCCTACGTTTGTGCATACTATAAACCTAAAGCTTGTAACAGGCAACAAAATACCTTACGAAGTCACTATATTCTATGTAGCCTGTAGCATTCTTGGGTGTCCTACATATGATGTCTCTTGCTGCATGCATGACAAGCTTTTAGTTAAATGTGCAATGGGTGCAGTCTACAGGGTGTCGTTGACATGAGGCAAAGTTTTGTAATATTGGTCAATCTGGCTGATATATCGACGACTCTTCAGAACAGCGGTTCTGAGCCATGGATAAACATCCATAGTGACCTCTTTCGGACTGGTACAAAGGATGAGGGACCCCTTACAGTCAGAGAAAAAGGGGAAGGGGGGGGCCTTAAATTAACACAACATGCAGTTTAAAATAGTGCCTTTTATTTGTACCTGGCAAAGAATGATCACACCAATTCAATCTCAACAGCTTGTTGAAAAGTTTTGCAGTCTGCAGTCACATTCAACCTGTTTCTTAAGAATTTTTGGATATATTTATTGTATAAAACTGCAACAAAAGCTCTACAGCTGTCTCGTAGAGAAAGGGGAGCATAAATTGGCTCTGTCATAATGCAAAACTGTTATGCAGTAAAGCATACCAAAAATCGGAAGGGGCCACTGTCGCGTAGAGATGGCTTTCGCAGGTCCTTAAAAATGGCTTCGCGGACCCCCATTGGAGAACCACTGGTTGAAAAGATTCCTTTTTGATGAAGGGCAAAACAGAGTCATGTACTGCCATTAAAATTGAAGTTTATTGGATCAATTCAAATTGCTAAAAATTTTACTGCTGAAGTCAGCAGATTTTTTCGCATTTGTGTGAAAACACAGAACCCTAGTTATAAGCTATGCCAGTGGTTCTCAGCCATAGATGTGTCGGGGACCCCTTGTGGACTGGTGGAAGTGATGGGGGACACCTTGGAACAGAGGGATGGGGGATGCATAGGTAAATTAATAAAACTGGAGGGTGAAACAGGTGGCTTTTGTTGCTACCAAAAGCATCAAGCAAATGCGTTCCTTCATTTCGGACAGTTCATCAATACGTGGCACAGTCGCAATTAAACAGAGTTGCATAGGTAAAAAGTTTAAAATATAAAAAAAGCGGTTGAGGGTTTCACGGATCTTAGAAATGGCTTTGCGGACCCCGATTTGAGAACCACTGAGCTATGCAATGAACATCGTGGGCCACTATTTGGAAAAAAATAAAGACAATATGGCACCTGAGCTACCGGTGGCTTCCCGTGTTAGAAAAAAAGAAACCTGATCTATCTGTGTCATATACGTCTGTCACACTCTCATGCTACCAGGCATTCTAGTAACAGAAGTGGAATAGCTGCACCATTTCACAATTGTGGGCCAAACTTGTTTATCTCCGCCATACTGCACCGAACCAACTCTGCTGCACAAAACTTTCTTATCAGTGTCACACTGTGCTGCAGCACCTGAATTCAGCCATAAGGTGCGACAGCCGAATCAAGCCCTGTGTTCGAAAATGTGGCTGAAGCATCTTGTCCTCGGTTTCATCGAAACCGTTGCAGTTTTTGTTTCATAAAGTCTGTGATGGCCCAACTAGCAGCTGTGAACTTTGATCCTTGGGGCGCGGTCACGATCACTGATGTGTGGTCTATTTTGGCAGGCATCAGCACGAATGGCTCTTAATGAACCCTTCTACATGCATACTGCACTCTCAATGCAAACAGACTGAGCAGAAAGAGTACCGTAATTACTCGAATCTAACGCGCACCTTTTTTCCGGTTAAGTGAGTTCATAAATCGCATGCGCGTTAGAATCGAGTACGAAAAAAAAAAATGAATACAGTCATTCTATCGCCATCGGCATTTCCAAAATGGCCGCCCCCTACGTGCGTCGGCATGGCGCGTCGGCCATTTCTGCCTATGTGTTTCCCATGTGCGGCACTTCGTACGTGTGCTGAGGAGTTCGTCATCTTGTAGTGCATTAGCATCGACGGCATGGAAGGGTTGACTCCAAAAACTCGAGTGCACCACGATGCCGCTTTTAAATGGAAAGTCATCGCGTGTGCAGAAACGGACGGAAATCGGGCCGCATCGCGGTCGTTCGGAGTTCCCGAAACGTGTGCGCGGGACTGGCAGAAACAAAAGCAGAAGATTGTCGACAGCAAAGCTTCACGCAAATGCTTCAGTGGACCACAGCAGGGTCGGTTTCCGCAAATCGAAGAGCTGCTCGGCGAGTATGTGCTTGAGCAGCGAGCGGCACAGCGGCCCGTGACGACAGAACTGCTCCAAGTGCGGGGTATGCAATTAGCCTTAGAAAAAGGTCTAATGCGGAGCCAGTTTAAAGCGAGCAGCAGGTGCTTGATAACTAACTTTATGAAGAGGAAAGGCTTTTCCCTCCGAAGGTGAACAGGCATATGCGAAAAGTTATGCGGAGGAGTGCAATGAAAAGCTTCACAGTTTTCAGAGGTTCGTCCAAAAAAACTTGCGGCATAACAACGGCTACCTGCTTAGGCAAATCGGGAATGCCGATCAGACGCCTCTTTACTTCGACATGCCTGACACCACAACCGTCGAGAAGAAGGGGGCAAAGCAAGTTCGCATGCTGACATCGGTCCACGGTAAAACTACAGTGACGGCAATGTTCTGTTACACGTCAGATGGGCACAAGCTTCCCCCGTACCTCATATTTAAATGGAAGACGCTCCTGAAAGGAGTAGTTTTTTCGAGTGGTGTGATCGTGTGGGCCAGCGAGAAAAATGGGTGTGCGTTGCAATCGATGTCTTACTTTTTGTCTTTTTTTTTCGTCGTGGAAATCGGGTGCGCGTTACAATCAAGGGCGCGGTAGAATCGATTAAATACGGTATCTCTTCCTGGCGCAATCGCATTCTCTTATAGCACGTTTTTTAGAGTTATGTGATATCATATTCAAAAGTGTTAGCTGCCAGCCTTATGTCGTATAACATTACAATTTGTTGCTATCACATTCATTGTATTATTACTGTCACAGTGCTGTGTTTTTTTTTGTAATTACATGTGGTGTTGAGAAAAAAAAAAGAAGAATGATATTAACTGTGCTCAAAAGAAGGAGGCTGGTGTGTCTCTGGTTCCCAGAGCAACCTAGCAAAAACAGGTGCACGGGGCTGCATATGGAGCCCACACACATATTCTAGTTCATTTTACAACTGCTCTTCACTGTACAACACTTATTGAGTCGGTGATTGACACTCGTGCTTTCAGGTTAAAAACAATTGGCCACTGTTCATAGCTGCAGAACATAGTTTCCGTGCAAGGGCAAAGCAAGGATGCAATAGCAGGATATTGTAATGTTATCAAAGTGACGATGTCAGCTAACTCTTTTGGATCTAACGTCACTCTACAAAAGGCTTGTGTAAATGGTTACGGCCACTTCAGGAAGAGGAACACTTTGGGCCTAGTCTCTTCGTAATGAGCGCAGCATGTAGAACCATGTACCAGCAACCCACTGATGGCTGCCGACCTAGTGTGTGTGCTAGCTATCGCGACCCTTTACTTACAAGTAAAGTTTACAGTTGCTGCTCAACCGACACCACCACCCCCCACCCCTCTTCTACTCTTGCGTTTTTTCATGCTTATTCAAGACGGGTAGGGTGCTGCCTCTCTGCATTG